ACTAAACAAAATTTCTAATAAACTATAAAAGACTTCATTTTCACAAGTTTTAGCAAATTTGAAAAGAGTGTCATACGGACCTTTTACTCTCTAAGTCTTAGTTTTGGTTCAGGTTAATTTTTCTCTATGGAAGCATAGATTAAGGCTGTTAACTTTTCTCACTATTTCGTATCTTAAAATGGTTTTTGAAAAAGAATTATTCTTGTTTTGGAAGTTTGGATAAGTAAGAAAAGCCATTCAAAGGTGAAGGGTGCTCTGACTGTATCTGATTTCAAAACTGTGTTGAATATGCCGTGTTTTAACTTTTTTTTGCAGATGGAGTGGCGCTGTTAAGGGGTAAGCGTCCTTGCTTGACATTTTATGTTTAAGGGTGTGTAAACTTTAAAGCATTGAACGGCGAGTTGTTTTCATTGTGTCTGCACGTTCTTTTTTAACTTTTTTGGAGTAGGTCATAGCTATTAGTTTGCAGCTAGGTTTGGACAGTACCACTTGTTAGTGACTCCGTTATTGGCCAAGAGTTTTTTTGTTTAACTGATTAGTGCGCATTCTCAGTATTATAGTAATTCTTAAGGTTCCACTTTTTTTTTTAATTACTGGTTTTGATTGAGACTTTTGCACACTAATTATAGATGCTATAGTATCCTTCCCTTGATCCTTCTGCAAAATGACCTCCCCACGTCGACACTTCACATGCGACCCCCTGACAGGTTGCTGTTGTTATTTTACACCCTGCATCAACACCTATCAAAAAGCTTACACTTCATTAGAGTAGCATGTCAACTATTCGTTCCCAAAACTAGTCAACGGAATGGGATTTGACTGCCATTGTTCATTTATTTTTTTTCCCAGCTTCATCTTATTCATTTCTGCAAGTTTCAGTCGTATTTATCTATGGGTTTTTCTGGTCTCATGAGGACCAAAACCATGGTGTTTGATAGAGCTCCAACTGTTACGCACTATCTTGTAGGGTTTTTAAGATTTGGGTACTGTCATTACATTAAAGAATTCCAAGATTTTGCCATTCGGACATTTTTGGTAAAAGTTCTTGATGTTATTTATCCTGGGTTTTGTAAGTGGTTGCTTTTGAGACAGTGACGTAGTTGTTTCTTTCACTGATCCCTTTATTGAATGATATCGCTTTGCTGTAGTCGATGGAGATTGTTAGAGGCGAGGGGGTGCAGTCAAAAAATTATCAATAATTTGAAACTATGAGATTTTTTATTCGTTTTGGAAGTTTCATTGAGGATTGTCAGGGTGCATTAGTTAAGGTGATGGAAGTTCTTTGCTCGCTCGTTAGTGTCTATTGGGGTCTTAAACGGTGAGTACTGAGTTTTAGTTTTTTTTGGGCTTTCATTTTATTATTTTAATGGAAATCTCATGAGGACCAAAGTCATGGTGTTTTGTAGAGATCTAGTCAAAGGAAGCAAAGGTGTTATTTACCAGAAGAGTATGACCTTTGAGGCATTCAAAAAGTTTCTTGTGTGTCGCTTACAGGTTTTTTTTGGTAAACAGCAGAAATGAAGACAATTTACGGCAGTAGCATCATTTTGACAGCTGCTTTGGACTGCATTACCTTGTATATGCAGTAACTTCAAGAACTGTGTGCATCAGACCTTTCTTAAACTTCTCGTTTCGTGCCTTTTTTTTTCTTTTTTCATTGGACCTTCATTTTATTTTTTGACTCTTGACATAGAGTGCAGCAATTTTAAAGTGAGTCATATCAAATTGCCATTATGGGCTTAGTCTTACCTCAAATTATGCTTTATGTTAAAAAGTTATTACGCGGATTAGCAAAAATATGTAACGGAAACATTTACGGAATGTAAAACGGTTTGATTTGGACTGACAGGATAAGGTTCTTTCCTCAAAGTATTTCTGGCTCTTAAATGTATAAAAATGAAATCGTGAGTCTCCATATGAGTTGCGAAGATTGTTTGGTTTTCTCAAACAAAACTTCATTCCATCTTTTTCAGCAGTTTTTTATTGTACAAATTGAGATATAACTCTGTCTATTGAAGGCTCTGAAGAGAGGGAATTGCTTTTTAAGTGTATTTTCTGACTCAGTACTACTAATTATTTTGGTTTTTGTTAGTATTGGAAGACGTTTATTTCACACCGTTTTGGTTCCATTTGGTAGGCTGTAGCATTATTTTGACAATCAAGGTTTCGTGGGTTTATATTGCGAAGCTTCATTCTCAATTTTTCAGGCCAAGCGACTGCGTTACTTTCGATGAGTAGTGGTAGCATAAGGGAAGGTGAGCAGTATCAGTGTGATGAGTGCTATATAGCTGCTCCGGACGTATATGTAGAGGAAGCGGATGAAGATAGTTCAGAAGAGAGAGGAGTTTGTGTTTGGAGGCCGCATGATAATCTGGATGAAAAACGGCTTTGTAGCTATTTGGCCGATGCGCTGATGTACGGGATTGAGCAAGACCGTGTAAATATTAACTTTTTCAATGCATGAGATATTCCTCGGTGAAGTTTTCACAGAAACTGGTTCTGGATTTGAGGAGGCGAAAGAGAACCTGGAAAATTAATTTGCTTGCTAAATTTTTTCTTTGAAGGAGACATCTCAGCTTGCACAACTAATTTCGTGCCAGGTCTGCAGTTCTGCAAGTTTTTGTGTACAGAGGACTATTAGTTTTAGGTTTCGTCGGGACATCTTATTGTGGAGGTTTAGGACACGAACGTTTTTTACGTTTTTATTTGTATGAGGTCTAGATTTAAAGGACATGAAACTTGATAAATATTTCGCAAAAAAGAAGCATACTGTATATTTTTCAAGCGCTTCTTTCTGCTGTGTAGAGCAGAGGTTCGTGATTAAAATTTTTACTGGCAGGTTTTGGTCTTTTGTTTGATAAGCCTAATTTTCTTGATGCCGTGGTTGTAGATAAATTATTTTGTAAGCTATTGGTGCCAAGTTGTAATGCACGAACTTTCCTGTATGCTCATAATTAGCAGGTGTTGTAAACAGGTTGTAAGGTGGCAGACTGTAGAAGGAGCATTTGTTTTACCAGGACTTGGTATTTTTGGTGGGGTATTGGATGAGAGCTTCACTCTCCTGCGTTTTTTTCCAAATCTGGGGCGGCCCATTGGTTGTTAGCGAAATGAAAAAAAAAAAAAAAGGAAGGGGAGGAACGTAGCGTATAATCTGAAAAAAGTGTGGTGTTTGACGCACCTTTATTGGTTAATATCCGCAATTACAATAAGACAGTTTCTGGAAAACCGATTGGGTTTAAACATGGGGATCTTTTTTTTTCTTTAGGGATGTTTTTGGTGACTGTAGGTTCGTTACTGAAGTTCTGGTTTGGAATATTTATGGTATGAGGGATACAGTTCTGCAGTCTGTGGAAAGTCGTGTTTAGTTATTTTTTATGGGAAAGTGCTTGTTTCATATTTTTTTATTTCTACTTTTAGTTCCTTTCTGTGAGGCACATTAATAAGACAAGCGACAAAGGGTGGGCTGTAGTACTCTGTGCATTCGTTATTATTTTGTTGTGAGATGTATCAGCACTGCTTTTTTAAAACAGGCTTGTTTAAGGCCATGTTCATCCTGAAGAATTCGAATTATGATTTTGAGGCCGCAAAAAAAGAATTGTTGCACCGAAAAGTTTTTAAAGAAAATTGGACCGATTATGACGTAACACTCTTCAAGCGCTGTTGTCGCACCTATGGCAAAAGTTTCTGTAAATTTAAGGAATTGGTAAGTCCTGGTTCTAAATTCTGGCAACAAATTATTTTTTTGATGGTTATATTTCTGAGATCTCATCGGTTGCTTTTATCGGTACTGACTGTTTTGTTATTGCCGTTTTACTGTGAACGGAAGATTTTGCACCTTTTTTTTCTTGGTAATGGTTGCTAGCTTGTTTTACCACTGCTTGAATCAGTGGATTCATATACTCGCTTTGCAGCTTTGTTTTTGCTTGTTTTTTTTTGCTTTCTTTCCACAGTAGACAAATAAACATTAGGTACATTAATTTCTGGCAACTCTGGTTCCAACTGTCAGTGTTGCCACAACAATGTCAGCATTGTGCCGTTTTTTAAATTTCTTAATATCAATGCTGAAAGTTTTGTGGAGATTACATGCTGATTATTTCCCGTAAATACTTCTTTTATTGTGAGTTTTGATTCTTGCTTCAAAGACACTGAGAAAGCAAGAGTAAAATTTAGTTGCCGGGAAAATCGCTTGCAGAACTAATCGAATTCTACTACAAGAACAAGAAGACTATGAAGTTCAAAAAAATATTTAAAAAACCGTGTCAAGTCAGGTACCTTATTCGCTGTTTGTCAGGGCCTTTTTAATGCCTAATATGCTTCCACATTAATTGTTTAACGTTAGAGATGGTAAAAGTCTCGTTCTTTTTTAGTACTTCAGATGAAGAAAAGAACAAAAAACCTAAAATAGTTCGTGACTGTGACAACTGTGGGATAGAAGACGTATGCCTCTCTCCTGCAGGGGATATGGAACTCTGTGCAGACTGCAACTTACATTATGTGTTGGTCATATTTTTCATTCAATTACTCAACACTAATTTTGACTCTTTTTACTTCAATTTTTCTACAGAGAGATTTAAAGTCTGTTTTTTGCTCATGGACTCACCTTTTTTTTTGTTGAAGGACATTCAGAATGCAGCGGCCATGCGCAAAGTTTTTCACTAAGGTTCGAGTAAACTGCAAAAGCAGATGCCCGCTAGGTAACTGTTTTCAGTGTCCAAATTCTTCATAATTCCTCTTTTGGATTTAAAATAAACGATCAAGCAGCTACTTCTGCTACTTTAGATATGGTTGGAAAGATGGATAATTTCGCTGTTTTTTCCGCTTTTGAGGAAGAAAAATATGAAAAAATAAATGCAGAAGTTGATGATGACGACGATGATATCCAAGTAGTGGTTAGTAAAAAGCGAGTCGCGAATAAACGTGTTCAGTGAGCCTTGACTTGATATCCTTCTTAGTTTTTGAACTACTTTGCCTCAAGCCTATGGTTCTGTATGGATCCTTGGCATATAGTCATCATATTTAGTAATTTTGCTTTAGGGAGGCAAAAGAAGAGGTACTGCTTTTAAGAAGCAAGTGTCTGCGAATGGAGCGTGATGTAAGAATGTTCTACAAACAACACCTTTCTGATGGCTAGTTTCATCTTGAATATTACAGCTTTTCTTTTACTGCTTATAACTTTGAGAATAATATGCCGTTTAACTTTGTTATATCGTGATTTTTTGTGCAGATTAGCTTTATAAAGAAAACGTAGCCTGACTATTTCAGTTGGCACTTCTTGAAGAAGCTTTCGTCTAGAAATGCCTATACGCATGATGTCATTGTATTGTAGGAAAGTAGAAGTAGAGAGTCGTTTATAAAGATTGGGGCATTTTCTGGTTTCAGAACTTTTTATACATAGAGTTTTTATTTTGGATTGCTGTAATTAGGGGTATACTTGCTCGCATTTAGTCGTAAGGTCCATATTCTTTGTCGTAGAAAAGATGCAAACTTTTTTGACCAACTTTTCTTTTTCATCTTTAAAGCTTATAGAAATTTGCTTTTAATTTGATTCTTTGCAAATTTTCTGTTTCTCTTTTTTGTTCATGTTTAATTCTTACTGAGGTGGTAACTAAGTACTCTACTTTTTTGAATTAATCTATTGAGTAATGAAGCCCTTTTCTGATATCCCTTGTTTGGAAAAAGTTTTTTTCAAAATAAAGAATACCATTGAAGAGTATTCTTCATTCTATAACAGTAGGTAGTTCTCTCGGGCTGATTGTTTAGATTTTTCACTTTGCTTCTCATTTTTGTACCATTGAAAATGGTATTTTTTGCTTTTTTATTGTATGTCTACAGTGGAACTTTACAGGTATTGATCAGTTCAGGACGATTTGTGAGCCTCGAGATACCAAAAGGCTTAGGGGCACCCGTAGTTGGGGGTACAAAGAAAAATTTTTTGCCTTTTATGGTAAGTTAGTCGTAGAGTGATGCCGGTAAATGAGGTTTAGTTTCAGACCGCTAATTTTTAATTACTTCGTTATTGTAAAAGACCGTTTTCAAAATGCAATGCTTTTGGCTTCATCTTACTATTAGTACCGCAAGAAACCTTTACCTAAATTTTTACTAAATGGTGAAGAAACACTCAATGAAAAAGCGGTCTGAATGAAGTGATAGAGACTTTAACTTTTTTGTTATAAGTTTCTCAAGAGTTATTTAGGGCAGGTAAACTTTATTAAAAACGCGTGTATTGAAACTTTATTACAGTTATTAAATCTTTCTGAATTTCATTTATTAGGCTCAACTTGTTCCGTTTTTTTTATAAAGAATGCATTTCTTTTGTGCTCTTTGTCGTTTGACACATGCAGTTTTCAGCTTTTGAACGTTATGGTAAGGATTTTGAAGCCATATCCGCATTAATTGGGACAAAAACGGTTAATGAGGTCAAGTACCTATACAATAAATATGCCAAACGGATTGAAGAAGTAATATTTTTTAGATGGGTCACTTTTTTCAAATAAAATGTGTTCTTGTGAGGAAGTTAACTTCTTTGAATTATTACGTTTTGGGCGTTCGAAAGTATCGCCAGACGTTGATAATTCGTTGAAAAATCGAAAGCCTGGGATTCCAGGCTTGGCTGGAGCATTTAAGAAGCTTGCCATTTGTCCTTTATTCGCCACTGTACGCCGTTCCATTACTTATTCGTGCTTTATATCCTTCATAAATTTGAGAGAAAAGTGGTTTTTTTTTGTTTTGAGTTTGACAGCTTGGTTCTGATGTCTAGTGTTAAACAACGTACGTCTGATTAATTTGTTCTAGACTTTCCACTTTCACCATGCTTTGTTTTTCCAAGGCAATTGCTGTAAACGTCAGTCTGATCTGGTTTTTGTTTTAGGCTTACAATGCCAGACAGGCAAAGCTGCAGAAGGATGTGGAAGGATGCAACTTTGAAAGGTTTTTTAAAATTAAAGAACCCAGTTTTGAAGTTGTGAACATTGACTGAGAAGACTCAAATTTGTTTTTTTCATACTGAATCAAACTACTAAAGACTTGTCTGTGTACTGTTGAAGCATTGTTCCATTGTTTGTGTCGCTTAATTAAAAGTACTGAAAATCTTTGTTGTTCTGTTGTGACAAATAGACTAATCATTACGAAAGAGTTGTTTTGATTATTGATAAGGTCTAGCAGATAGATAGGAAATCAGAAGTAGGCGAAAATGGTGTAGAGGAAAACTTTTGCAAAGGATTCATTTTTATGAACCTATGAATAAGAATTTTAATCATTTTTTTTGGGGGGGAGGGGGTTAACTTTGAGGTCAGGTCTGTAAAATTCTTCTAAGTGTTAGTTGCTGTTGACAGAAATCGGAATGTGCGACGAAGTTTTGTTACTCGCAAGTTCCCCTTTAAGACCGAAGGGAAGAGAGAATTCTGGGCTTGTAGTGGTTTCCCCTTAGTGGGGGTGAAAATTAACTGCGAAGAGCAAGACAAAGAAAATTGTATTTTCTCTAGATATTTAAAAGACATTGCTTTCCTTCATTTTTTGAAAATTCAGTTCTGGCCTGTTCAGATGGACGGATTTTTTGGGGGGAAAAAATTTCACTTCTTTTTTTTTTCTTTGAGTTACTTGTTTTAGGTTTCTCTAACTGTTGAATTAACATAAATTAGCCACCTAATGTTTGCGAAGTGTGACACAGATCTTGTGAAACTGTAGTGTGAAAAATGGTTTCTGGATACAAAATGTTACCGCTAGTTTACGTTTATGCAAGTAAACTTGATTCCCCTACAGCAATAAAAACGAGTTCCTGTTCCGATGAACAGTTTGCGAAGGGAAACACTAGAACTAAATTTCTATAGGGCAGTGGTGGGGGTGACGGAAAGTGATCTAACTCTTTCAGAGACCGAATAGAGGTAGGTTGAATATACGAAAGAAGAGGAAGAAAGAGCAGGATGATATTGCAGCCATGTTCAGTTTATAAGGTGTCGGTTACAAAAGATGCAGTAAGACTTGAGTGAATTTGCGTTTCTGGCTTCTGAAAAAACTACAGATTTAAATGTCGTTGGTGTTCTGATTTGGTCTTTTTTGGAACCTTTGGGCTGCGATAAGATCTCACATTTGTCCGGCTTAGCTGGCTGTGGATGAGGTACCTAGTTATTAAGTTGTGCTAAGGATTTTACGGAGCATTTAGTTTTCCGTGTATAGTAAGGATTATGCTGCTGGTGCAAAAGTCTGGAGCTCTTTCAGCGACAAAAAAGAAATGAATTTTTTTTAACGAAAATCACTGACTTAAAATGTGGCGTGATAAACGCTATTGTAAAGTCCTTCAAGGGACATGAAAGACGAGGAAGAAGGAAACACGTTTGTAAATGTTTTAAGCAGTTAATTTAGATTAAATTTTTCACTAGAAGAAGGCGGAAACTAGGGAGTGATAGAGCAACTTTGAAAGGAGGTGATAAATTTAGTTGTTTAGCACCTTTGCTTACGACAGCGTTGTTTCGAGGTACAGAGACAGGTACTTTGGAGGAGTGGAGTGTGGGGCGTATCGAGATGAGATCGAGGGTTTGGATAGTATAGTGCTTAGTAGGAGAAGTCCTTGTCAAGCAAAAAGTCTTTGTAGGTACAAACGACCAGAACCGTTTTTTATTTATTTCTATAGATCCTTTACCCATTAGCGATAGCCATTAACTGCTATGGTAAACTTTACTACTACTGATAGCTAGAGGTCAAAATGTAAAATTACGATTGCGACTGCAGCTGCATGTGATAAAAATTGTGTGGAACTGCGATTAGAGTTTTTATTCATATTATATTTTGATCACCACTTCTCATAATTAGTTTTTGCTTTTTTTGATAACTGCTAAATAACTTTATTACTTATCCTATTACTGGGATAGCTTTATGGGAGTTGAACGTAGCAGACCACTTGTACCAGGGCTGTTGTAAAGTTCCTGAGGTAAAAACGAGCAGAACGTTATTGCTTGTTGACCAAAATTCCCGTCTAGTTGCTCCGCCATTAAAGCTGCAAATTCTTTGCGTAGTTTAATATTTCGAAAATAAGTTTTTTTAGACGTTTGATGTGTTAGTGATGACACTAAAATTACACAAACAAACAAACATAAAGTGATAACAAGGCAGACAGTGTTTACTGATTGTGCCATTAGAATTACACTAATTAATTTAGGCTTTACTTACACTGTTGGCGTGCCGCTTTCTGTTTCTCCGTTGTATATCTTGATCAGATCTGTAGCGGAATTCATGTCTATTTCTTTGAAATTGATGTAAATTTGACGATCTAACGTTGTTCTTAACAAATAAGTGCATCGCATTAATGGTCGAAAACTGTTTGGATATCCGGGAGAGAAGAGCTGAAAAAATTTAATGCGTCATTTGTGTAATCTATCTATTGGATAGGAAAAGTTATCTGCTCAGATTGCAATGTTTTTTTTTTTTTTTTTTTTTTTTTTTTTTT